CTATCGCATTCGATGACAATCAGCATGAAGTCTCAGTCAAAATTGACTATGGCAACTCGATTTATTTTTATCAACAGCAAAACGACAATGATATTCCAAGGTTGACTTTCATATTTTTTGCTTCGTTATTTTCTCACAGTGGATGGATGTTTTCTCTAACCTATTGTTTTAAAGAGGATTGCGATGGAGTATGTGTGAAATAAACATGCAGCATTTCAGTGTCTTCTAGCTGCGGCGCCGCTTAGACAGAACGGAAGCCTTATTCACTGGCTTGTGTTGCGCGTACGAAGTTTATGTGATCCGGGTTCCACTTTCTCTGACGAATTTGGTCAAATAATATAAACATTCTCAGTTTAAATAGATCCCTTGAAATGTTAAAAACATTCTTTTTCTTTTGATCTATTTCATTTACCCAAGAAGACATCTATAAGCAGAATTGATATTGGCTATCAATTTCGTGTGTTATCTCGCACACTTATATGATAATGTTAAGTGATGAAACATAAGGGTTGAAATCAGTCATTTGAACAGGGTGGTGGACAAGTGAGTTACATGATTTGTGTTTGGTTAGGGGTTAAGGTCAAGTTAAGTGACAAAATTTGATATGAAGGTAAATTGGTCCGTACGATTTGGTGAACTTAGTGGAGGGAGGGAGGGTCATGTCATATCATGCTATGGTACCAAGTGTGACATCATCACTACCGCGATAACAACAGTTGCGTCACACATGTTTTTGAACACATAATTGTGACTTCAAGTGACCTATAGTTATCGCTTCTAAGAATCGTAAAGTCTATGATCTTCGAGGCCTCGCATTGACTTGAAACACTTTGGGTGCTTCTACATTTTCACCGGAATCTAACAAACGACGGGCAAGTGCACTAGATGACAGTTTCCCTCCTCGAAGACCAAGGTGTTTCGGAATATGCTCACACATTCTGGTTGATAAATGACGTTCTGTCCTTCCGATGTACCTACCGCTGACCGCACGTTCATTGAAATGAATAGATGCAGTTGGAGCTAACACTAACGTCTTCTTAGTCCAGATAAATGCTTGTAAGATAACGAAACGTCCCGTAGACAATCATTAGTCTTGCGGTATTGTACGTCCTTTCCACGGCATGTGTTAAACGACGAGATGTCTTAGTTGTCTCATCATCTCTTTTGAAAGGCAGTTCTACATGCAGTACCAAATGTTGTTTATTATTATTTGGAAAAATATTTACTCTAGTATAAATGGTGTTGTTTATACGAACCCACAGGTGTTTTACAGGGACCCGTTGCTTCAGTTCCGATTAGACCTTTAGACACCTTTCTTCTGAGCGAATGGGGAAATAGGCTTCGCGTTGATCGGCTAGCTGTACTGGTGAATATATGTGATGGGATAATCATGGTTTAGCAATGCATGGGTCAGTCGGTTTAGTTCATCTGGCGGTTTACCAAAAAGAAAAGAAAAAAGGTTTATCAAAAATGAGCCTGGAAGAAAGACCGAAATCAGAGCCCATTCATGAACCGATGATGTAGAAGATGTCTATTTAACTGTCATTAAAAAGATGTGGTCAGTTTGACTTCAATAGGATAAGTTTGACGCTAACAGCGTGGGGAAACTGTTAATGCAGGCAGGTTTTCGAGCCGAAATGCAGTCCGCAGATAAAAAAGAACATCCGATTAGGGAAAATTATATACTGTGACCTCAACTCTGGTCATTTATTCCATCATCTGTATTTGTAACGCAACCGACACCGAACGAACGAACGGTAAGGTATATATCCCAGCGGATCGGGCACAGCGGAACAGAGTTCATAGGACGCCCTACTATTCACCCCACCCCACCTCGCCTCCGCTGGGAGCAGACTCAGGTAACCAAGTGAAGCCAGAATCAGCCTTCTATCAGTTACCACCTCACAGATTCTACTTTCCGGGTCTGCCCACCCTATCCACTGCGAAAACGATCGGTATTCGGATGTTCACACCCACCTATGTGCACCTTATGCCATGCAATTGTCATGGCTAAAAATCGATCATAACATATGATTACAGTGCTACGTAGACCTAGTGGTGGGGGAAACACTAACATCTTTTTTCCGACTAATCAATGTGAATTTGAGCGACTCAATGTCCATCCCATTTTAACCTGCCAAATCCTGACCTGATCTGTTCAGGCAAGCAGATGAATCGATAAAAACAGTTGTTCCCCTGTTAACCTGTATAATCAGGTTAAAATGGGCATATTCTGGAATTCTGAAAGGAAGACTGTTCGCCTGGAGTAGCGACGATCAGGGAAGCAGTGAATACGGGCAATTGGCTGATTGATTCGAATCCCACAAGCAAGCTTTCTGTTCTCCCTTTAGTTTCAAGTGAACGGGACGCGCTGGGTCTAGTGAGAAATTTTATTGAAGATCACTTATAATTAAGTGCAGGTTATTTCCCGAACTTCACAATCCGGTGACCTAATCCCTTCTCGCTAACTCTTAATTATCTATTCAATTGGTAAGTTCATCAGAATAGCGAACTGCACGTCCTGAGTTCTAATCCCGGTATCGCTGCTGAACTTCCCCGTGTCTGTCCCCCCTAGGCAGCCTTTGCATGACCGAGGCGCTCTTCCGAAAAGTTGACTGTACATCTGTATACTCAATAAATAAAAAAGGAAAAATAATCTTAGGCAAAACAAAGACCCTCCGCTCAAATCATTGTTGTTTTGCAAAACAGTCAGCTCCATGTTACTGATCACCCCATTCACATTTTAAAACTTACAGCATTTATGCAGTCAAAGGATTACCAAAACCAAGCTAGTTTGTCAACCTAACTACTTTTCTGGTACGCTGGGATGGGGATGATTCAGAAGATTTCCTAGGCACAGTCACAGCGCAATTCTATATTAGTTTGCTCATCAGAACCTCAAGCGAGTTACTATTGCGCGAGGATGTTTACCTGTTCGGCCAACAACTTGGTCACATTCGGCCAATCGGCAAACGAGATCAAATCTTGTTTGGTCTGTCCGATATCCCCTTTGACCGGTCGAGGCACATTGGCACACGGCGAATTGACACTGGTTGTGGTGGTAACTAGCGGACTGTGACACAGTGAAGGCAACGAGTGACTACCATTCCATGCGCCCATCTCCCCTCCGGGCGCGATAATGCTTGTCTGCACAGCGGAATCTTCTTTGCGACGTGGTATCTGAGCACGGGTTGAGAAACAAGAAGCAGGGATAAGCCGAATGCACATCTGGTCTCGTGTGTGTGTGTGTGTGTGTGTGTGTGTGTGTGTGTGTGTGTGTAAACCCCACTTCAGACGAGGTGTGATTTCTCAGGAATCAATCCACTAGCGTATCCTCACTTTTAGTACCCTTTTTGCTCCGATTAAACCATGCATCCTTCTGCGCTTAAATGAAAGAGAGGTACAACGATTTTGGTGCATTGGATGTGGGTCATGGTAAATGAAGAATCTGGTAAAATGCAAATTATCACCGGTTAAACTGGGGCTACTCTGTTTGTTGATATCAAATTGTTCTGATTATTTGATCCTTGGATTTATTTTTAAATCCACGATTTGTTTACTTGTATTAAGTAGTTGAATATTACATAACAATTTACATGAACAAATGTCGTGTTACGATGTCGTAATTGTAATTTAAATGTAATTATGAATTCTATAAGTGATTCCATTTCAGTCCAAAAAATGCACACCGTAGAGAACTAATAGTCAGGTCTGAAAGCCTCTATGAACAACTGTGAAAAACTGCTCCAAGTTAATCAGAACATAGTCGGGAATGTCTAAGCGCTAGTGGACAAAACGGTATTGGGACCCACTAGACGGGGTGGGAAAAACAGGAAATTAACGCTGTATGCAGCAGATTAGCACGACCTCTCAGAATCTCAAGTGCAAGAGATCCGCATGCATTCAGATAGTGTTAGCACATCATGTTGGTCAACATATCCTCCAGTGGGACTGAATATAAATGGCTAATGATAGCTAGTTCCGGGTGAATTCGAAGAAAAAATAATGTTTTATTTGAAAATGAAGACGTTTGCTGATATGGAAAGTGATGCTGTTGTCTACGTTGAATGTGGGAGGTTCAATGAAGACTGAAATCCATAGAAAACCTAGAATTTCGATAGACAGCCCGGAATACCGGTTCATAAATAAACAATAACGAATTAACTATTAAAGAAGAAATTGGTAACGTCGAGGGACATTAGCAACATTTAGGGGGTGGAGGAAGGTGGATCAACAGTGAGCCAAAAGTAGCGGACTATTGTTAAATGTTATTCCAAATGTCCGAAGTTTACGAAAGGTCAGCAGAAATGAAGAAGGCCTAGCCTAACTCATCCATGTTCTTTACAAATATCTAAAAAGACAGAGATGATGCATACATTCCTTTTTCATGAATGAAAATATCAGATTTCTAAAAGCTTCTAAAAATCTGCTATTTTTAAACAAAGTTGAGAAGGTCCTTTTTATCAAAAATATGATTGAATCGATTTTGTCCCCTCCCCGGAAGCTTCACGTCTTTTTCCAAGGACACAATACGAATTGCATATGGGAGGATTTACTCAAAATAGGTCACTGGATCGATTCGGCTTGTCCATTCTCCACCAACCGGATGTACAATCCTCTCGTAAACTCATCGTGATAATGCCAACAATTGTAGCATTCATGTGAAGAAGGAATTCGCTCTGACATTCCGTGGAAGCGTGTCCTAAAAGTGTTTGCTTTGCAACCGGTTGGTGCAAATGGCAGGCCTCATGCTTTTATTCAACTGGCCCGAAAAAAGAACGAAATCACTTCATTAATTGTCTGAGTGAAACCGCTATTGTTATTGGTATCAAATTATGCCTGTGTGTTAAAAGCGGAACTGATTCTTTGCCGTCGAAAGACTGATGACACAAAGATCAAGGCCTGATCATGTAGTGTAACGAAACTTCGCTTTGTAATGACAATCTGTGATTACGGGTGTTTCGTAATAAATAACAGTACAGTGAACAGATAAACCATAGAACCATATGGCCTCAAGAACTTACTGATTAGTAATGACAACTGAAAGTTCCAACTACAGAAATTAAGGTTACGAACAGGTTAAGACCTCAATGGAGGAGAGCAGGGGTATTGAATCGGATGATTATAGACTTGTCTATCACTAGCTTGTTCATTTATTTGTCATTCACATCACCGTAGCCACAGTAACGTTGTCATTTTTCGTGTGAATGTTGCTGAATTGTCGCCGCCAAGAGGAGTTATGTTCGAATCCCGCCATCACCCGTCCTTAATTGCTCCACCTAATTTGTTGGTAATCTATGACAGCTCACTAGTCATTCGCTTCTTCCTTTCGGGAAATGATCTGATATTATTTTTCAGTATCAACAATGCAGTTAAAAAATAACAAAGAAGATTGTGGGTTGGGTTTTCATTTGTACAAACTTTCTCTGGCACAACTAGAGAATTTCCTATGATCTGCTTCCAGGCAAAGGAAAAAAACAAAGACAACATACAAACTTTCCCTGCAGCTGTTGTTTTGACCGTGTTTTGACTAGTGTGCTCGCGTAATCACAGCCATACTGGGCACAAGCCTATTCTTCTTTTCGACGTCGGCATTTATCGATTGATTGAAAAAGAGCACGTACATACTTATATTTATTTATAGAAATTGAGTGTGTAGCCACACCAAAGCAACCCTAGGCGAAGAATTTCGCAATCCATAGAAGCATCTTTGAGTCGCTTCACTTCTATCTGCTTGGGTAACCAATTGATCAATATGTCAGAATAAAATATTGGATTTATTTGTCTCCTAGGAACCCGTTTCTTTCCCAAATATTGAATGTTGTTTATTTAAATTTATTTGAAACAAATTGATATATATGTATATAAATGGCGTGTTAGCCTTTTACCAAGTCAAGAGTGCTGCTGGACTCGGGAAACAACTCGGTTACAAATGCGATTGATCTCGTTTGATTCGAAACCTCGGATTTTCAGCACATTCCACCTGGTTTAACTAAAAAGAGTATAAGCATATGTCGGCCGGGGTTTATCTGATTTCCCCATGCATTATTATTTGGAACTGACTTCATTTTTCTTCCCATTTTACGTACAGGATACATCGATTTTTATAAAGAGCTTGAAGCCANCGTATTACCAAAACAATTAAATCCAGAAAACTAGGTAAAATTGAAAAGGCATGAGATAGGATGGTGTTCAAAAAATAGCAAGCGATTGTGCGCATTTTACCGACCCTTTTTATGTCGCTGAATGCTTGTGCCATAATTTAATGGTCATGCTTTTATAAAATCTTCAAATCAGTAAAGCATAGGTCAGTTCTCTCTACTCCAAATTGCCTCCCAAGAACGTCAATCAAGATTCGAGTGGGGAGTCGAATCCGTTCTGATGGCTTAGATGTTACCAAAAATACGAAGGACTTTGGGTAAAACGGTAGGAATATGGGTACACCATGGCAACTCCAATGATGACAGCTGTACCATTTCGTTTGACCACTTGCAGATTAATGAAGGAGAAGAGTAGTCTGTGGTTTAGGTTTAGTTATATCGTCGATTTTGTCGTCTGCACAACCCTGTACGTGGATTGAAACGCGGGTCAGCTTTGTTCAGTTGGGTTGGTCCCGTTTGAATTTCAACAAAACGGTGAATTTGGTGATCCAATTGAAAATGAGGTCCATTATTTCAGACCAAAGTTTTTGTTGACAAATTACAAATAAAAAGATGATAAAGCGATGCATTATGAGTACCTGTTTACGCTGTTTGCAAAAACAAGTAGCGGTACAATCTCAATGAAACTTTGGGCGCCCAGGGGTTTCAAGACATACGAACAGATATACAGATACGCACCAAGACTCATATAACATGTCTTCCCGGGTAACCGATTCATCATTTATGTCATCTTGAATCAGGCCATAAAAAACGACATTAGGAACTTCCAGCTGTTTGCAGAAATCTAAGATAAACTTTTCGAGGTGGTTGATGTACAACGATCGAAGTTAGGATAAGGTTACACTGGTAGTTGAAATCTTCACTATCCATCAGTTTTTGACCAACGCATCATTTTACAATAACGTGACTGCCGTGGACTGTATGATATCCACAAGTGATGAACAGATTGTCCCACGGAAGTTTCGCACAAGCGTTATGCTTTAACTCACGAGTATCGTGAGCACAACTTGTTATTTGAGAAACTCTCTATTCAATCATTAAGTCCGTTGGAACTTTTGTCACATCCAATTCAAACATTGAGATGCTGATAAAAATTAGCTAGAGCTCCTAAAATGCACCAAATCCATTCAGATTTACATAATGAAAATCTGTTGTTATATAGTTCCACGGTAACATCTAATTGGTCCATTTTTCTCCGAGGTTTCAAAGTCTGTTCAGCGAGTTTGGGTTGTTTCTTACCCCCTTTCTTCAAGTTGATGATGAAACAGGAGGTGAGTAACGCACATTTTCACCCATCATTCACTATACTATAATTAGTCGGTTTTTGCATGAGACCATACGAATTCGTCATGGTTCAACGGTCACTTTATTGATCTTACTATTTGTGCCCGAGATACGGTCAAGTTATCACTGATTTCAGACCATGCTTTTCCTACTGGTGAACTTCTTCGAATAGCTGTCTCAAACCAAACGGCAGCTAACCACGTCTCCATCACAGGTCTCAGAGGTGTACTCATTGAAAAACTGTTCAGCGCCTACTGTCGGCCATCACGAAATAATTCCAGTAGACACGAAAAGAGCTGGTCGCATCACTCGTTATGTGATATTTGTCTGTAGTGGATAAGATTAATCTGACACCTACCTCGTTTGTCCGTTCAAGAAAGATCAGTGTTCCGACGGTTGTAGCCATCTGACAGATTAATCATCCCATCGATCTCGTTCTGGTCGTTTGCGCGTGCCATTTGGGTGAGTGAAACCGTATTGGCTTTTCTCGTTTTCTGACATTTGAAAGCGAATGCTTATTTGCTATCGCGCTTTGTTCACTCTGTGCCTAACCGTGTCACGTTGGTGTTTCGAACCCAGGATGTTCAACATTGCCCCCATCCAAAGCCCATTGTGTGTATGTGCACTCTAATAGATGTTGCCTGTTAATTCATTCTATGATGCACCAATTTATTTAACCAGATTTCCACAAGGGGTAGTTTAGCTGAATCTATTATGTCCAATGCGTTCATCTTGTCTACAGCTTTCCATCAATGCCATCCAAGTTTACGAACAAATGTGTCT